CTAACAGCAGTCAGAGAAAAGTTCGACGTGGGCCCGCTCCTCGCTCGCGTCACAGCTCAGTGACCCTCGGAGTCGGTGTAGGCCACCATCAGAGGCGTTAAGGTCGGGGCCCTGATCATTGACATGAAACCATTCCCTGTTTTTAATTAATAAAATCAATTCCTTTTTTTTGTTGGAATGGTGAGTGTGGGAGGCCTTTTTAAAAAAAAAAAAAATTAGTATTAGATGGCAGAATTTACTTTTTTATACATGTGCAATTAATGACCAGAGAAGTCGTTGATTTATAATATCAGGGAGAGGAACTTTTCTTCAGATGATGGTAGATTAAAAGGCAAGTTCCAGGAAGTAGTTTTTGTTTATTAACAACGTTTTGAATGCAACAAACATTTATTTTCAAGTTAGAAGAAGCATTAAACATTGAAATTTTGGTGGAAATAAGTACATAATATATGTAAATAGGATACAACAGTTAAATTTCAGACCAAAAATTACTTGGAAAATTCTTTCAGAGTTCAGACAAATCTGATAGTCAGAAAATAGATAGCTGGAGTCCAATCTGTAGAGATAAGGGGCTCACAATTGTGTCACAGGCAATTATGGATTTTATAAGTAAAAATAAGTTCTTTTTCTTAAATTTTACAGAAGAAAGTAGAAAATGATCATTTGAATGGGCAAAAGTGTCAAGATTCACAGGCATTTATGTCCAATTCATGGGTGGCTTCTGTCCAATTTTCTACTTAGTCTTTGATGTTGACAAACAATGCTGACATTTGATTGACAACTGTCAATATTTGACTGACAATTGTTGAAATTTGATTGACACTTTCTTGTTCTTTAAAATAATGAATATGTGGACTTATCATATTTGGTGGCAAGATCTAGTTGATTAGTGGCAAGTTTTAACTTAAAAAGCATGTGAGGGAGTTTGAACAGGCATATTAAATCTATATAATATACTATTTCTTCCAGTCTGGTCAGAATTTTACTGTGATGCTCAAGCCTAACTATAAATAATTCTGGAGTACAATACTCCTAAATGAGGAGTTTAAACATCTTATTGTATCACATCTAACTAAACTGGATCAAAGCAAAACGTAATATGGTACTAAAAACTGTTCAAGTTATTAGCAAGATCTGATGTAGTGAATTTCTTAGTGATCTATGATCAGTTCTATCTATTACATCTATATTTAAAAAATTAATTAAAATTACTAATTTGGACATTAACATGACCAAACATCTCATAAAGAAATTCTTCTATGACTAAATTGTACAGGATGGAGATCTGTGTCCTAGCTATAACGGAAAATATCTACTATCAAATTGGCATGGAATATGTACTGTATAGTACCAATTGAGCTGCAACTTGAGCTTTCTTGTCTTTCTGGAGCCATAAAATTCTTGCTAGAGGAATTACTTCCCTTCAAATAAATAATTGATATGCACAATCAGACTGCAAAATTCCTAATGTATAAAAAATTTGTCACAGAACTGTGAGATTTCATACATAGGTAATAAAATTCCAATTCTGCTCTTGAACCTAGCTGGAAAATCAGGAAGAAGCTGCCTGTGAGGTTAATGAGACAAAAACACCAAGGAATAAGGTCTATTTTATGTGTAAGCATAAACCTTCCACATCTTCAATGTAAAAAAAAAAAAAAAAATTTTTGCCTATTGTTTTCAAAAATAACCTGTGAAATGTTGGTTTTTGACCCCCAGTTTTGGAAATCTATCCAGTATTCCAGATTGGCTTGCCAAGCTGCAAGTGGATTATTGAAGCCTCAAATTCATGGAATTTCAAACCATGATTGCCTTTTCAAGATTGTTAACAGCAATTTTGGGCCACAAACTTGGGCCGTGTACACAAATTATGCAAAATCTTTGATTTTATACTAGAAATAGCAATACAAATATTCTTCATTTTAAAGGTAATTGAGCATGTGATGACGTGTCCTAGGTGTAGCATAATGCAATTAAATGGTTCTGGTGGGTCAGCAAGTCATTGTCAAAGAACTAGCTGTGGCCTTAGTGCCCTAAAAAACTGACATATCACCCTCCCTTACCTAGTTGCCACTACCAGGATTGTGCGATGACAATATGGGCAATGCAAAAAATAATGAATCACTGTATGCTTCTGTCAAATCACCTGTATGCCATTTTTAAGAAAAATATTTTTGCTTAGTTGAGCAATAATTGACCACACCATGTAATGTTGCCTCAATACAAACCATCAGTTTTGTCCCACCAAGAAAAATAAAAAAGGGCCAACACCTTTAATTTCAGCTGAGCTGAAAAACCAATTTGAAATTAAAAGCAAAAGCAAATAATTAATTGTTACAATTCCTAAGAAATCAAAAGCAACAATAAAGCATTACAACTTAATATATTCTCCATTGTTTATATACTACATTGTAATAACAATGGTCTTGACTCAGTTATGACTCAGACTTAGCATGTTCATGAATGTATACAAGTATAAATATTATTTTATCACCATTGAATACATTAATGTGTTATTGTCAATTGAGTAAATACATCCATTCTAAAATGGCCAATAAGTGTTGCTTGATGATTAGTTGATTAGATTCTAATATCTAATGTAATGATAAAGACAAAATAGACCTTGGATGTTTCAACACCTTTGATGTTGTTGCGTATCATCACCTCTAAAGGTCGAAAGTCGTCTGGCTGGTTCAATACACTGGTATTGAATATAAAGAACAAACGTGGGATACAAATAGTATAGAAAATAGTGTTCAACAAAACAAAACAAACTCAGGCGAAGAAACAGCAGAAGAACCAAGCACATATAGCCAGAATAATCTTAGTAAGTCAGTGAAAGGTCAGCAAGGAAGTCTTCATTGCCAGAAAGCAGGCTCAAGTACACTAGGTCAGCATGGGTGAGTGGCAGATCAGTATGAGCACCAGATAAGCAGGACCATGGAAAATTGACTCACTCCAAAAACACTTATTTACATTCACATGCACTAATTTGGCTTTTATTTGCTGTCATTTGATTAGTATTAAAGCACTGATGACACTAAAAAAGAGAGAATAATTGAAAACACTCAATAAATAATTCATTTGTCTAAATACAGCCCTAATAATGTAGCACCCCAATTTTGCTATGTATATATTTATATGTTAGTATTGGTTGACAGAATTTGATCCTTTAAGCATGTTTAACGTTATTAGCAAATTGAAAATGTCCATTGTTACCCCAATTTTCTATTCACCAGTGCAAACAAAAATCTGGCTTTAATGTCCATGCTGTAGAATTTCATGTCTATTTCTAAACTTATTATTTCAATTATAAATGCCACATTCAAATGTAGCCGAGTTGTCTGCATCAAATATTTCTGATGCATGCCTAAGGCAATCAATTGTGTTCTAAAGTATGTAACTTGTGACAAATGATATTAACATATGTTTGTTACATATGTTAAAGTTGAACCCTACTTGTGTGCCTGTATTGCATTTTACAATTTCCTGTATCCTTCCAGTGTTACAACCATTGCTGTCAACAATATAGATTAAAAACTTCAACGTCAGTGATTTATAACTAGCATCACATTTGGTGATGGCGTCCATTATCAAAGAATGCAGTCTTGTGCTGCACGAACTCTCCAATGCTGCAGTCAGGAGTGGCAGATGCCCCGAGCAGAGTCTCACTCAAGCATCTCCTGGGGGCAGCAGAGTAAAGTCTGAAGGTTAGCCAGATTCTATGTGCCTCACAAATCAATATTGGCAAAGTAAAGACTTTTTAGACTTTTTCTTTCTGAGTGAATGTAGTCTTAATAGTATAATAGTAAAGTATCATTGATACCAGTATTATCATACATAGATATTGAAAAAACTTGAAGTAGAACAGAGAATTATAAATGAAATAATTTTTAAAAAATCTCATTTTTCACTATGCTGACTGATCAATTGTTATTATGCAGGGGAGGAGCTGAGATTATGTAAAATTATCTAATTTAATTCTCATTCATGTTCATTTCTTACAAGTTTCAATACAAGATTTGAGAATATTGTGTGGTAATATGCCACCTCATGAGTCTCATTCATCAGAGTGACATTAACTTTTTGTCTAAAGCTCACATGATTCATTGATTTATTGAGCATAACTATTTACTATGAGATATCTTGCTCCATAGCCCAGTGGTAACAGTCCTGTACACCAATGTACATATTTTCCAGCCTTGGAAAAGGTTGACCCTCCACCATTCCTTGAAGTTCCTGCTATCGCCATCAAGGAGGAACCTGAGGATGAAACTGAAGAAGTATCCATCAAAGAGGAACCATTCTTTTATGGAAATGAGGTAGGTGGAGTTGATGTGCAAATAAATGTTTTACAATGAATATGAAATTCCTGCACAGAATCTAATGAAAAAATTGGCACAATGCTATTTCCATAGTCAAATCTTCAAGTAAGTCATCAGGAAACAAGTCTTAACAAATTAATAGGTCTGAAATATTAACCAAAAATAATTAGGTATGAAGTACCTTCCTCTAGATTCAATAATTGGTTAGAAGTTATGGAGGATATGATCTATAATTACTCGCTTTTGATTCACTATTCTATTTCCAAACTCAACATTTTAAATGTAATTATCTGTTGTATATAAAAAATGAAAAGTGATGACCTATAGTGGCAGGAACCATGCTGAACTGTCCAAATTTTCTTGTTCTTTTTCTACTTCCTTGCTTGTCAATGAATTTATAAGAATTGAACAGACACTTGCAAAGAATAGTACTGGAGAACATTCATGTCAATTGATTAAGTTCTTAACTCATGCCATGCTACATCAACGCAAGTAAAAAAATTCTTAACCCATTTATGAATACCAACATAATCCAACAAGAAATTACTAAAAGTGTGTACTTGATTCTGAAATTGCGACTGATGTTTATATATACAGTTGATTTTGAAAAATTACGGTTGAAATAGTTGCATTAATAAGTATTGACATCAAAAGATATTTTATTACCAGAATTTTGTGTTGCTACCACATTCATGTGCTGTTAAGAAATTTGGAACTTGTTAAGAATTCTATCAGGTGTTGTATATTATATTCTTTTTCATTAAATGCACGCATCACTGCCAGTCACATCAACATTGTCCTTTACATCCCCCCAGGTTTGTTCAACTGCATATATCAGCCCTGCACCTGCACTCTCCTCTTTTGTGCCATGTAAGATGGAACCTCAAGTTGAGTCTCACAACGCCCTCCCAAACTCCTCACAGAACATTACTGCTCCATTGTCAAATCAGGTAAATTTACACAATTGTAGCTTGCTCCAACGTGCACCACATAAAAATTGTTGGAAAGATTTTCTTGATTCCAACACCGACCTGAGGAAGTCAGCATGTTTTTGTATAGTAAACATTTGACATTCAGAATTAAGATGTTGATTAGCTGTTGTGTTGTGGCAACAAGTTGTTGTGCACAAAGTGCGGCATTCTGAACTGTTTGTAGTTGGGTAAAGTTGGAGGAATTAGCGTCCAGTTCTGACGGGCGTGATCAATTGGGTGACAGATGGTTTTGTAGGTTTGTATTAAAGTTTCCTAGTCTTGTCCATATGATGTTCCAAGAGGACTTCCATCACGTTTGGTTTTTGAGGATTTTGCTGTTGTGGTTTTGTGTTGGATGGTGAAAGTAAGCATGACATCAAAGTTTAGGCCAAGAATTTCTGGGTTGTCTTCAGAAGAAGTTGAGTACTGGTGTGTGGTGTTGAGGGTGAGTGTTGATTTGTTGATTGAGAATCCAGGTTTCAATTAAAAAAGGAATCTAACTGAAATAATGTGCAATTAATATATCTAATTTTACAGGAGTACTATCTTGCATTGCATTTTCATTTGTGTTCAAATTTGCAAAGCCAGAATATATGTCTTAAGTTTAGACCAGGAAATATTAACTCACTTATTTGCTCTGACCAATTAATAGGTAACAGAATAAGTAACAGAACCAGAACAGACTTTTGCTACATATTGATTACTTTACTGAGGATAAAACTTGAAAGTCGACTGTTTACTGTGGCTCTTATTATTAAGAGAGATTGTTTACTTAGTATTTTATCATTAGTTTTGCGAAGGTGGGTCAGCACCGGCATCAGCAGACGCTGCTGGCGGCTCTGGCGTCTCTGGGGCGTCCAGCTCCAAGCAACACATAGAAAAATCATTCAAGAACCGCGACTGTGAACAATCGGGTATCACAAGAAAATCAATGCCAGAGTTGAATTCGCGTGCCACTCAGGGTGATCTCAGGGAAACAATCTCAGGGAAACAACATATTATCCTACGTCATCCTCAGAGAAATGCAAAGAAATGCTCTCGAAGTAAATGTGCTGATGGTTGCAAAGAAATCTTGCACAAGAATTGCCTTTCTAACCGTTCACTAATAAGGAAGTTTCGCTGCTCTGAGTGCGATTATGCTTGCATCACGAAAGGGACCTTGGAAAGTCATTATCTTTTTAAGCATTCAACAGAAAAATTTTTTCAGTGCTCTGAGTGTGATTATGCTTGCACCACAAGACTGGTCTTGAAAAGACATTTTCTTTCCAAACATTCCACAGAAAAACCTTATCACTGCTCCGAGTGTGATTATGCTTGCACAGTAAAATGGGACCTGAAAAGACATTTCCTGTCCGAACATTCCACAGAAAAACCTTTTCAGTGCTCCGAGTGTGATTATGCTTGCGCCGCAAAATGGGACTTGGAAGAACATTTACTTTGCAAGCATTCAACAGAAAAACATTTTCAGTGCTCTGAGTGTGATTATGATTGCGCCACACAACGCAACTTGAAAAGACATTTTCTTTCCAAACATTCCACAGAAAAACGTTTTCAGTGCTCCGAGTGTGATTATGATTGCGCCACAAAAAGTCAATTGAAAAGTCATTTTCTTTACAAACATTCCACAGAAAAGCCTTTTCAGTGCTCTGAGTGTGATTATGCTTGCACCTCAAATGGGACCTTGAAAAGACATTTTCTTTTCAAACATTCAACAGAAAAAAACGTACAATGCTCTAAGTGTGATTATGCTTGCATCACTAAAGGTAACTTGAAAAGACACTTTCAACGCCGGCATTCAACAGAAAAAAACGTACAATGCTCTAAGTGTGATTTTGCTTGCACTACTAAAAGTAACTTGAAAAGACATTTTCAAACCCGGCATTCAAAAGAAAAATTACTCGTCTAAGTGTGACGATATGCGTGTCTAAAATGCATGTTTAAACAGCATCTGCTCTACAGAGGCCATCAGAAACTGCTTTGTGACCCAGATGTGAGGATGCATGTGAAAGTAGGAAGCTTGACACAGGAATCAAGTGCAGAACATATGATTTTCTGAGACAACAGGACCCAGTTATGTAAATTACCGTACCTAACCCAAGGCACCGACTGCCAACAAGGAAGAGCTGCTCAGCTGTTCAATGTCCATCGAAGGTGGCTGTCGCTTGGGATGGCGAGTATGCAAAAGAGAACTACGATGGCTCATGCTTGTTGGGGCCTAAATATTACTTCATTGGAATCTCAGCAGCCATTTTTCGTAGAGCCTGCATGAGGGACTGGAAGCTGTCAGTATCATGGGAGTGGCAGTCAAGTTCCTGGGTGTAACTGTGTTGCAGTTACACGCTGGCTCACTGACAGACGGTTACTATCTTAAGGGGATCGGCTACCCTAAAATTTTCAATTTTGGCGTTTTTCGGTTTTTGTGCTCATCTGAAAGCTGGAATTCTGCTCTTTCCAATGGTACCACTGCCATCGCTGTACGCCAATATTTACGTTCATGACGTCTCTTTAAAGGGAAGCGGGTGATAGAGTTCTTTAAGTAATTAGATATAGAGTAATTAGCTGCTGAAATCTTTGAATATAGTTTCTACTTGAGTTGTGCTGCAGTTACATGCTTAGTCTCATCTTAAAGCTGACATTCTGAGCTTTCCAACGATACTACTGCGATCCATGTACGGCAATATTGACGCAGACGGCCGGGCTTTAATTGGGGGCGGGGGGTGGAGTTCCTTAACTAAATAGACTTAAGAAAATTACAGCGGCAAGACTACATATCTTGGTGTATCTGGCATCTGAGCTCAGTTACCCTTCTAACATTGTACGTAGAGGTGCGCTACAAGTTGCTGCTAGCATCCTTGAGTGGATTAAGCTACAGAAGCCTGTAGTTTGGTATCCATGCAACATTGAGTGCCTATTTCGAGGCGCACGGGACTTTGTCGCGCCGTCCTGAAAAATTTGAAAAGTTCAACTTACTGTCACGGAAAACCTATCTCCTCCTACAGTTTTCAAGCTACAGCAATGAGACATATGCCATTCGATTCGTAAAGACCATACCTATCGACTCTAACATCACTTTTTTTAATTTTTGTCTGGTTCGTTTTTTATATGGGGAAGAATGGGGGGGGGAGGGGTGAAAAATGTAAAAAATGGGAAAAAACGTCATAAAAAAAACTAGGTGGAAAATAAAAAAAGTGATGTTAGAGTCGATAGATATGGTCTTTACGAATCGAATGATACGTGTCTCGATGTTGTAGGATGATATTTGTGGGAGGAGATAGATTTTCTGAAGTACCCCTTTTTAGCCGTTTTCTATGAATTTCACGTTTTCTATCAATTTTTTCGAAAAATACATAGGAGCAAAATGTTTTTCTTTTTACTTTTTACGTATGTATGTGGAGTTTCATGATAATCGGATAATAACTGTAGAAGTTTTTCCGGAGGGTAGCCGATCCCCTTAACTGGCGTTTTGCTGATAACAGAATACACTCTAGTATTGTCGTACAGTAGATTACCATTACCAGTAGTTCAGAAACCTTGTGAGACTTGCGATAGATTTACTTGAATTTCATATCTTTTGCGGGTGTCAACAGTTATTTTATGCTCATGGCAGATTTTACTGAATATGATTAGTTGATGCTAAACTAGCCCCGAAGTCCTAATAATGTAAGTTTTAAGATAAGTGATTCTACTTTCACTTTCTTGTTTCTCTGCTATTGGAATTTCACTGATTTAGGTCTTTTTCTCCGTTTCGTTATCTTGCAGTTGAAACAAAATATACCCTATTTCTATGGCGGCTGTTATACTATCCCTTAAGGTCGCGATTGAGAACCGCGAGCTCTCAGGCATGTTTGGCTGGATCCCACTGAGAATCTATCACTTCGTATAGTCATTATAACTCCGCTCGTAAATGAAATATCAATCTAAATTTTTTCATGCTCATTCAGCTATTTATTTACAATTTCCCGAAAGTTGCAAAATATATGTAAATTTTGTATAACATCAGTTATGATAGAGTAAAATGTATCACAGTGATGTTCATTATACATGTGAGTGATGCGACTCACCTGAATTTTTTTAGACATAAGGTAGTACTATTTATTCTCTATTGATCGGTATTGAAGTCATATTTGAATCACCCTCTATTTTGTAGAAATTACCTAACACAATACTTTTTAATCACTCATGAATCGTAGATGTCCCATTTTCTTTGGAACTTGGCCCCGAGCATGTGAAAGTCTCTTACGTTGTCATGACACTTTCCCTGGCGGTCATAAATCAGCTCGCGTGAAGTGGCATGGTCGATAGTCTCCCCTCTTCCTAGGGGGTAGAGGGACAGCCTCCTTACCCTCTTTACCCCCTTACCCTCCTGGCAGGTTGGTGTAAAGGGCTAGCACGTTTAAATTACAGCCTTCCATTGTTAGTTCGTAGACGAAGATTTTCCTGATTTAGGTGCATCCCCAGACGGTCTTGTAGATCATGACCACGTTGTTGAAATCAAATGTCCAAGCTCTGCACGTTATTTCAAGACCATAAAAGATGCTATGATTGCTAAAAAATGCAATCATTTGAAAGTCGTTGACGATCAAATAATACTGAACAGAAGGCATTCCTACTTCCAAGTTCAAGGTCAGCTGAAAGTTACCGGACGAAGTAAATGTTATTTCGTGACCTGGATACCAGAAGATATACATATAATTGTTGTTGATTTTGAACCGATGTTTTGGCTCAAGCGAATGGAAGTGCAGCTTAAAAATTTTTACTTGAACAACATGTTACCTTGCATTATCAACGATGATGTTGAATATTGGATTTATATTGAATATTCGTTATACGGGTCATTGTGTATTCAGTCGAGCGAGCCTCGACCATATGAGAACAAAGAGTCTCACAATTTTCACCCCCCTCTCCAAAAACCCATACTGCGGTTTCACAGATTTTTAAAACAGTAAACTTTTAACTCACTGTAAACTTGTGGTCTCTGTACAGTCTGAATTACTGTCTCTGTAGTTTGATGAATCTTGATAAACAGTAAAAGTTGAAATTTCGTCGCATTTCTGTAACCTTCCCTCGACGTGCCTATATAAAGAGAAAATAATTAATAGTTTAGTGACAATATTTCTTTCGTTCTGAAATTTGTACTATATGAATTAAATATCATCGAAATGATTTAGGTATTGAATGTGATGCATTTATATGACGGAGATTAGCATGTAACTGTGCGAAAACAGCCTATTTGGCTTGAAGTCTAAGCTCATATTATAGTGCAAGACACCGGCACATCTTAGACGAGAGGAGAGAGAGGAGGGATGTCAGACATGAGGTGGGTGAGAAGGGGTGTCCTCCCCTGCACCCAGATCCTCTTTGTGGGCTGCCTAAGAGAGTACAAACAGCGAAGCACTTCATGCCAATAACGCTGTCCTTACGAGGAAACTATTGGTCTGAATTACAGTCTTTGTAATTTGATATACCGCCGAAACGTTTTCAATATCGATATAATGAATTTACTTGGCGTTTTCTTTGCTTTTAAATTCCTTGTGAACTTGCGATATAAGCAGACTGATAATAGAAGTACTTATGTAATGTCTAGCGACAATTTGTCTTTCGTGAAAAAATTTATACTGTCTAAATTAAATATCGACATAATTTCAGCATCGAATATGATGAATTTATATAATGGGGATGAAAATATAACAGTTCGAAAACAGTCTATTTGGTCTGAAACAGCGGCTCACATTACCAAAAGCAAAAGGGATACCCGCACATCGGTGGTGAGGGGAGAGGGGAGGGCTGTGAGGGATCAGCTCAGCGGCCGAACACCATTTGCTCCTTAACGACGTTAACATGTCTGCCCAAGTCTATGCACAACCAAGTTGTGTTCTATTAATATAATTTTTCACTTTATTTATCACAAGGTAAATAAAATATGTTATTTAGTTGAAAGAATGGGTATCAAAGCCTAAATAGTAAATTAATTTTTTTAATGATGAATCTTACAATCATCACGTCCTTGAACCGGAAAAATGAAATAAATAAAAAAAACATGGGAAAAATGAAATTAACGGCACATCATAATGTTTTATGTTTATTTTTTAAGATCGCGCTGTAAATAGCAAAGAATGTGCTGGCAGTAGTGAAAGTTCATTGACGACATGTGCACTGTTGTGAGGGTAGCACTACATGTGCACTGTTGCGAGGGTAGCACTACATGTGCACTGTTGTGAGATCGCACTACACAGAGTGTAGGGCAGCGCGACGCAGGCCTGCGCTCGCATGACATTCCTGTGATACCACACGCCGGCCAGACGTAAGATAGTAGTCACAGCAGCGACCGCGACTCGCGAGCACTCTCGCTTCGGCGTTCGGGCTCGCTTCGAGCTTCCGACATGTGTAACATCTTGACTCCCCTCGCGTGTTGTCACTGCATTTTGACTCCCCTCGCGTGTTGTCACTGCATCTTGACTCCCCTCGCGTGTTGTCACTGCATATCACGAGGGTTTCTCTCCCATATTACGAGGGTTACTCTCCCACATCACGAGGGTTACTCTGTACTCTCTGCCTGTTTATTTATCATCTTTAAAGTTTCTCCGAGTCATTCCAATTCGGCCTAAGTGATCACATAGGAAGCAGGATACTGACAGTCCTCCGT